ACTGGAACGCTGACTAGAAACTTGCCGTCGGGATCTGAGTGCTGTGTAAATCTCAGATTCTATGTTCGCGGCGGTTTCTAGTATAGGCGTTGCGCCTCTATCTGATTTTTTCAATCAACGACGTGATGGAGTGGGACAAACACAGTGAGGTAGGAAAGAGAAACTACTTGCGTTAGACGAAGACAGTACAGCTGACCGTTTTTTACACATCACCATATCACATTTCATTTTGTTTGAATGGTTTTTTGTGCTTTAGTTTTTCTTTGTACCATGCTAAAATTTTTCAATTTTCGTAGTGTACGTTGTATAATAAATGCTATATAATGACTTTCTCTCGAAAAACACGACCTATTTGTTTTAACTATAATATACAGGGTAACGTTTTGTTAAGGACCAATGAATTTAAAGATCTTGGAATATTACTAGACAATCGACTAGTCTTCAATACGCATATCAAGGCATTAACTTCTGAATGTAACAGAATGTTAGGTTTTATTATTAGGAATAGCAAATTATTTTCACAAATGGCTCCAATTATTATGTTGTATGAATCCTTTATTATAAGTAAGCTTAGCTATGTATCTTTGATTTGGTCATCCGGTAGCGTTACTCAAACAAATTCTCTAGAAAGAATTCAGAAGCGTTTTTTGAGGTTTCTATTTTTTCGGAAACACGAGTTTTACCCTAAAGTTGGCTATAGCTACAATGCCCTATTGAGTGAGTTTAATTTTGTCAGGGTTAGTAATAAACACGCTTTCCAAATTCTAGAATATCTGTATAAACTTGCTAATAACTTAATCGACTATGTTACCATAGTGTCGAAGTTGCACTATCTTGTTCCTAGGCATAATTCACGCCATAATTTGTTTTCCCCACGCTGTTATCACCATTTCTAGTCACCAGTAAACAAAATGTACATATTGTATAATCAATTTTGTAATTGTATTGATTTATTTTCATCTTTTAATGAATACAAATTTACTTTAAGGAACAATATACAATTGTAAATTCAGTTAAACACATTTAGGTACCTATCTCATTTACTTACTATTTACTA